TATATATATTACAAATTGTAATTATTTCTAGCCATCTAGAGGCACCATAGCCACAAAATATTATACTGTACCTCAACCCGAACCATGGTGGGGAAAATCCCTTCCTGGCCCCCCCCCCCCTATTATGTTTTTTTTAGCCTGCAGTATGCCTGTTCGTTTACAAAGCATTTTGTGATAATTCAGGGCCGCACTCAAACCCTTACTTAAAGGATAAATTTGAGTTTTAGCAGGCAGAATAAAAAAGAAAGATTTATGCTCTACACAAAATCTTGTTTTATTCATTTGACTGAGGAGAGAGGGGAGGGCAGGGGCGATGAGAAAATGCTATGGATTTAATGGTATACTTCCTTGTTTTGCCTTGGGTCATAGGAAAATGTACATGTTTGCTTACACATGTGAATCTGATTAGAAAAAGTTATCAATGTACTGAAATAAGAATGCTATTACAAATATTAAGAGTGTGCTAATATACATGTCGTATTATTGTTAATAATTATAATTATTTTATAAATACTGTATAAATACCATATCTAGATGGAATGATGATATAATATTTGTATTTTTGATTGGATTTTCATTCCAGGTTTAGCTCTTCGTCTGTTAAGTATATCAATATTATCCGTGATCCTATAGAGAGGTTTACGTCACAGTATTACTTCAAACGATTTGGCGATGGCAAAAATGATCAAAGCCAACGTCAGTTTAAAGGCACTGAAGAAGAAAAATATCAGGTAATGACAGACGTTAAATAAAAAATTAGAACTAACCATGGTATGGTAATGAATAATCAGTGGGGGGGGGGGGGTCAGGGAAGTGGGAAATTTTCCCTGTCAAGCAAGCTTGGATCTTCCGTTGGCTGATGCTAAAACAAGCTGCTTGGACTAAAAATATTAATTTGCCCTTCAGCTAAACAAAGTTGATATCAGTACATGGTATCTAATATTATGGCCTTTAAGTACAATTTTTGGGCATCCTATACTGTAAATCTCTCCATATCAACCCCACCAGGGATTTTATTCCGCCTGGACCCCTGACTCTGTTCTAGACGGCCCCTTGATTCGAACCCCTGACAAACTTGTTGGGGCTCCTGTGTATAATTTACTTACTATGTGGTGAAGAGATAAATGTGTTTGTCCAAAGCAATAAAATTAATGATGGTGATAATTATATTCACCTCTTTTGCATCCTCAATTTGTTTTAATTTTGTTTCATAATGTACAGTATGTTGTAATTAATAAGAATTGGATATTTATCTTTATACATTTGAATGGTCAATTTATATGAAACTATTTTATTAAATATGTTTTTTTTTTCCATTGAATGTTATCACCTTTTTATGTTTGTGTTTGTAATTTATTGTTTTTTTATTTACTGTTCACTGGAAAACCTTTTAGATAGTAATTTAGTTTGCTTTATGTAATCATCAGGGTTTTGTTTTTGTCTTCTGAATTTTTTAAATTGTATTTTGTAACTGATTTTACCTAGAAATAAATTTAAAAAATGAATTATTAATATTTCAATTTATAATGTACTTTATATTATATTTTGCAGACTATAAATGAATGTGTCTTGAAGAATAGACCAGAATGCGGTACTAAGAAACTTCAGTACATAATCCCATTTTTCTGTGGTCACAGTCCACAATGCAGGTAAGTAAATATAACATGCTAATGTTTTATATTCGTATTAAACCTACCATAAAACCTTGAATTGAAGCCAGTTGGCTTAATCTCGAGATGAAGCCATCTACAATTGGAGCCCCTCTTTAGTTTGCAAAATTAACCTCGAAAATAGGCTGAGGCTTCTTTTGGAGATAGTACAGTACATACACTGTAAATGAATTTCAGAAAAAAAAAAAGGAAAAAACAAAAATTTTTTTTGGTTTTTTTTTGTTTTTTGTTTTTTTAAATTTTTTTTAGTTCCACACTTCAGCACCCTACGGCCATGTGCATTGTGTGCCACGCCGTGGCCTGTTTACAATGGAGGTTAAAAATTCAGTATATCAATACACAATTTTTTACATTTTCACTGGGCACAAGAAAGGAACCAATAGACAAGCAATGACTTTTATTTAAACAATAAATAAATGAAAATATATTTTAATGTGTTATTATTTAAGGTTGCCAGGTAGAACAACATTAGAAATGGCTAAGCTAAACGTAGAGCGTGATTTTATAGTGGTGGGAGTTCTGGAAGAGTTGGACGACACGTTTGCAGTCTTAGAAAAAATGCTACCACGTTTTTTTACTGGAGCAGTGGAGTATTTGAAATCTCCAGGTAAGTGAACAAAACTGACAAAAATAATATGTTAGGCTGGGCAAACACTCCACATGACCGTCGTCAGCTGACGCGATTTTATGAAGAACGTAACGCGACGACGTGCACCCAAACGATCGTTTTTAATGATGATCCGTTCAGACGACCACTGGCGTCGCGTCGTCTAGGGCTCACAGTGAGTGGCGTTTGATTCGTTGTGCAACAGTAATGCGACACAGCAAGTGCCCACCTTTAAAGATACACTGTTCCTCATTAGTACTAATTAGTACTAACTAAATCACTGTGATGGTCAGGCCTCTACCAGAGGGGATGGGGGGATCAGCAAAATCGGGATTGTTTGTCATTTATGCTGTATGTAATTGTGCTTTAAAATCAGGTTTAGGAGGAAAAATATGTTTTGATATGTCTTAAAACTGATTTTTCTAAGACAGAAAAAATTGTTTGCCGAAAATCTGGGGTGAATGAGATACAGATTTTTGAATATTTAAATACTGGGGGAAAGAGGGTGTAACCGCTCTTTTTTACACCTTTTCCCCCCTGTTTTTAAAATATTTATTCACCTTTCTCAATTCACCATTTCCCACTTCTTTCTGTCTTAGAAAAATCTTAACATGTATCAACATTTTTTTTCGCTCCAGAATCTTTAATGCCTTTAATGTATTATACAATTTTTATTATATAATTTTGATTACCAAATCTTTAAGATACATCTTCTGCAGGCAACACTTTTGCTCGTAATCGGTCAGCAACCGTAACTAAGCACAAGGAGGTACCATCGGACGAAGTGAGAACAATACTTTTGAAGCAAATGTCGTTGGAGTATGAATTCTACTACTACATCAAGGACCGCTTTCAAAAACTCAAGATTCAACTTGGAATTGGTGATAGCAAACAACGATAAATTTAACTACGGTCGAACCGTTATTTCCATAGCATCGAATTACAATCTGTGATTAATTTTTTCAACCTAGGGTCATACAATCGTGGTTAAATTGTAGCCACATTTTGTCCAGGTGAACCTAGTTTGATAATTATACAATTTCTAAGTTTGGTTTTTCAAACTAAGATTGTTATAAACAGTCACACGACCGCATTCTGTGTCGTAGCTTGTACAACGTAGGGTCGTACTAAAATCTTTGAGATGGTTTATTAAACCTGGATTGTAGCTGTAGTCTGCTATGTACCTGTTATGACATAGAGTCGCACTGCAACCTTTGACCTAGGTCTATCAAACTAAAATTTGTTATGTAGGTTTTTCAAGTTATGCTTTGCTACTACCACTGGTACTACAATCTTTGTTATAACAGAACATTGGCAAAAGACAAGTATAACAATTTTAAAAGCACAAATTACTAGTATTGTACTAAGTACCAATCATTGTACATATACCTATCTGATGTTTTGCAATGTACAGTATTTTCTCTTATTTAAGTCCTGGCTTATTCCAAATAGAATACAGTGTGCCCTCCAATTTGAGACCACTTTCGGGACCTGAAAATTTGGGGTAGTCTTGGGGTTGGTCGTCAGTTAGAGGGCTAGCTTTGTACCAAAAGGTTAAGATAGTTATTTGGTCTTTGAAAAAGTGGTCTCAAATTAGAGGGTGCACTGTATACATCATCTGGTGTAGCCCTTATTTGAGAGTGGAACTTTTGGAACCTTTATTAAGCCAAATAAAAAAATATATATTTTGTTGGCCACACCCGACCGACCCAAATTTTACAAAATTCTGAGTTGGCATTTTAGCTTTTTTTTTTCTTGACTACAATGAACAATATTCTTTTATGAGCATATAAGGCTGGAATAGCATTGGCCAGGCTTATTTTGCAGGATGGTACGCGATGCGAATACATAATTGTTGTATTATTTGTGTATTTTCTGCTTTTTAGGCATAAACTCATTTTTGTTGGCCTTATAACGAATCCACATTAAGGTAAACAAAAAGTTATGTATTTCTTTACCCACCAAAATTTTGAAATGTTAGTAAAAATAATAGAAAGAATTTTAACTTATTTGTATTTGAACTGTAATGTGTTTCCCGACACAATAGTTTGCACAGTATAAAGCCGGGCTCTCATTGCATTGCACAACTGTCGTATGTCATGGTGTTGCGTTGTCCATGGAATCGCGTCGGCCGACTACCGCAGTGAGTACCCAGTTAAAGGTGTTAAACACTCAGTGGCGGATCTAGGATTTAGCAATGAGTGGTGGATAATGCGAGTGGTTTTGGGTGGGGCATCCCCTCCCATTTGAGATTCCCACATAAAGCACACTCACAAGACAGTGACCACTTTTTCTTTCATGGTAACCGAAAGGGAGTGGCTAGCCACCCTGTTCACCCCCTTACATCCGCCACTAGTACTGATGCTTTGAGTTTGTTAAAACATGGTGCTAAAAATATGTAAATATTTATTATTTATTATCTTCCTAATTAAAAAATGTTATGCTACATAAAGAGAGTATAATACAAAAGGACCAGTTATCATGTTTTCATATGGTGTGCTGACTAAATTATTTAATTTTGTGGTGGGAAAAAGCATATAGACCTTGCTAACAATATTAATTTTACTTCAATGTTGTAATAACATGGCAGTTTACTAGGTTATTTCCTTTCGTATCTATAAAGTTGTGTTTTCTGGTGCTTCCAACCTGCAGATTCAGGAACCTTTTCTCTGCACCCCAACCAGTGCTTTGCCCCTTGATCTCTGCCCAAAATTGAGGTCACGTCAGACACCTTCCCCATGAATGTCGGTTTTATGGGAAGGATGTAACTGCGAAATACGTAACTGCGAAATACGTACTGTGTGTGGCCAGAGATTTAGGGAGAAGTGATGGGTATATTGAGTTTTTTATAGTTTATTAAAGAAAAGAAATATTTATACTGAATTTTTAGTTACTTAGAGATAGCCAAGATATATTTACTGGACCAGATGTATAGATTTTAATTTATTGTAGGCCTAATATGTTAAAATGTTCGATTTTTAATCTGAATGTACTTAGTATTAATTTTATCAATGAAAGTGGATCCCAGTATTGTGCATATGTAGCAAATTCTACTAAGGTAGAACTTTTTTTATACCTTGTCAAGCGAACCCACCACTTGCCAAAAATGATGAATTCTAATAAAAATAAAGTTTCATTTTTGGCCAATTAGCAAACCCGCTGCCACAAAAAAATTGAAAATTTCAGAAAAAATAAAGTTTTTCTTTCTTTTTATTACACCCGCCACTGCTTTGAAATCTCTGAAAATAAGATATGTATTTTTCTTTATAATTTTATAAATTTAAAGAATTTAACCATCGCATTACTACATGGTTTACTTTCAACAATAACATTTTATTATTATTTTCTCCTCCATCTGGATGTTTTTTGGCAAACACTATTTGCTAAATAAGAAAGCAAAATTTTATTTTTATTTTTTTCCGCCCTCCTCTGACAATCTTTAAAAAAATAAGTTTGCGAAACAGGGAATAAAAAATCTCGCCTAATCCGTCAGCCTATGGAAATTTCTGGAGCACCAGTTGGATCAGTGAAAGGAATATGTGCATGTTGTCCCGGACCTAGCAACAACCTCCGAGGGACGGGGCTTAGCAGAAATGTCCATCCTCCTGAGTATTAATTGTAGCGATCATTCTACAGTAAATGTACATAGGTACTGTATTTCGCATAGTATTACAGAGAACACATCCTTCCTGTAGGCCTTGTTCTATTTTAATATGCAATTCTGTATTTAATAACTTTTAAAAATTTGATTCTCATTCAATTGCAAATGGCCCGCCACTTATATGATAGAGTAAACTCTGCAAGGTGTGTAGAGTGGAGTTGTTTTTAAGGTTTGTCGACACAATCAAGTTTTCTGTGATAAATGTTTATGTACTTTAACCTGGACAATTATTTCTGAAGATTTATGTTGAGATTTCCAATGCTGTATAATTTATTTTTCATCTTAAAAATGTGGACTGTTTGTGAATTAAAATAAATTCATAATTACAATTATTGCAATTTGTCACATTGATTTTGTTCTTAAAATCCAGTTAATGTTAATACTGTAGTTAATTCTCAATATAATACATTTGAATAATAATATTCAAAAGTTACAACTAAAGAAGTCACACATTCGGCGTGAAAATCACGCATTTGGGATCTGTCTCGCAGGATCTAAATCTCATGCTTAAATATAATGCCTGTTATAAAAATATATGTATGATTTGTGGTCTTTTGTAGCCCCTTCCATTTTAAAATTCTCTGTTTTACAGTATTTAAAATATAATGGTAACATCATGTTCACCAACAAGCTGCACTATAAACACTGTAGATACAGTATGTCGTTTTACAAAGCACTGTCGGAAAGATGAAAGGATGCGTACAGTGTAAAAATAAATTGTGTGGAGATGACCTAGAATGTATGCATTCTCAAGTAAAAAGGAAAAATGTAGATCCTAAATGCATTTTCGAGCAATTAGGAAATAAAATTTCCAGGTAGGGAGGTTTGAATTTTTAAGTCTTGTGCCTGCAAAAACACAAATTAGTGCATCATGAAGTATATTGGGCTTCCCTAGGAAAAATACAATACAAGATTCAAAAGAATGCCATCATTCAAAATGTCTTCTCAAGTCGATGATAAATCGAACAATTATCTTCTTAAACGAAGATAATTAATAAAGTAGCAGATATTGCAATATAGTTGTGTTTGTGTGATGATTTAACTGTACAGTAAAATGAAATAAAGAAATGATTTCTGGGGTTTCCAATTTGTACAGGTGTACACAAATGTGGTAAAACCAAAAAAAAAAAAAAAAAAACTTAAAAAATTCTTTTAAAATGTTTAATAGGATCAAATAAATTATCAACTTCCAATGCGACACATTGAAAACAATTTTCAAAAATTCTTTCTACAAAAAATCCTCAAATTGAATACCAGTCAATATTCAAAGCTTATTTTAAAAATACAGGAATGCTATTTATTTATTTAATACCATATTCAAGAGGGTAACCCATCCAGCATTGCTGCTCATTAGGGGCCCTCAAATAATAAATGAGGTAAAAAACAAGAATCTCTTAATTACAAATTTATTTATTTATTTTTTAATCATTATTAGTCAGTAATCAGAATATAATAAATTAAAGTAACTTGAATAAAAATAATGTAAATAGTAATGACGAGTATCTACATATGCATTTGAACGTGTTCCGGGTTTTCTTTTGAATCTCAAACCAGTCCAGGGGCAGCACCAGCAAAGGGTCCAAGGAGCCACAGAAACCAAATCGTGGAAGAAGCCAAAAATGTTGTCGGGAAACACTGCTTTGAAGAATCAATTCTTTTGCCTGATAGTGCAATTTCCAAGCGTCTAGATAACTATTCTTAAAATTTGTTCCAGTCATGGTGGATCTTAGATGGGTATCTTGGACTTCTCGTAGAGGAGCTTGTTATTCTGCTGCAAGGGACTTCGGAACCTTAGTTGGGGAATCTTTGGCGTCACCAGTTCAAATAATAAAGAGCTAAATGGCAGAAATTGGTTACAAAATTTGCAGCTACTGACGATATTAAATAAGCTAAATGAATTGACTGATTTGCATATTTATAATTTCCACTATAAAAACATATTTATAATCTAGCCTAGCCTGTACTTTATACAGTATAAGGAATATGTAAACCAATTACCTCATCATTTAAAAAATTATTTTTAACTTTCCACCAAATCAAAGAAGCCCATGATTTAATTCTGAATACTCTGCAGCAGGAATATAACTTTTGTTCCCAAGTATGTACTTGTTAAATTCTTGTCATACACAAGAGATAAGCTTGGTTTCCATAAAAATCACTGACTCCTTTGGCGATGCTGATTGGTCAGTTGAATCAGGGAAGCATTCCTAATTGCGTCAGGGACAGCTACGCAGTACTGTACAAGGTTTGATGCGAGAATGCTGTAGCGACTGTGTACGATTCTATGGAAACCAGACTTAACACGGTCAAACATCACCCATA